CTGTGGCTCTCAATAGTACTGCCAACACTATTTCTCTCACTGTGCCCCCACAAGGAAACACGATTCGTCATTCCTTGTCTTCCATTTGCCTCTTGTTTAGCTTCCCTTCGAGTCAAAAGATTGAGGTCTCTCCTTGTTTATTGGATTGTGTACCAAGCTGCGTTGGTTGTGTTTTGGGGCTATTTGCATCAGGCCGGAATTCTTCCGTTCCTCAAATCGATTCCAGCAAACGATGTGGATGAAGTGTCTTTGAACATATTTTACAAAACATATATGCCCCCAAGATTTGCATTTGGCGAACCGCAGGCTCCACATATTAGTATTCCTGCAGAATGCCGGAAATTAGCACCGTTTGACGACGATGGCTGTGATAGGGTCTTAGATTTTGCGGGTAGACCTCAGATCGAATTATTCAACTTCTTGGACTGCCTGCAGAACTATTCCTTGCCTAATACAGTCATTAGAGTGGTGAGTTCGTTTTGTCTTAACTTTTTAATGATAATGAGTGGCTAGTCAATAGTAGTAGCTGATGTGAAGCACTACAAGGGAACTTAAATCGGCCTATTTCCCTTTTATTACTATTATTAGATTTTACCTGGAACAGTTTTGCCCCTCCACAAGTCGCTAAGTGATTATGGAGAGGTCATGCGCTTGGACACATTCTTTCCACACTTGTCGACAGAAAATCCACCGTCCCTCCTGATGCCTAACTGCCCTGGCAATGCAAATTACATGGCGTGTCTTTCTGCCTACTGGGAAATACTCAGAAACCAACTTTCCTTGCATTCCTATAAAATCACTCTCACCTGAACACTGTCAAACAGTTTTCTTCCTACATTTTTTTTGAAAATGTTAGTTATTCGCTTTATATCTTTGCTACATGAATTAAATTAACCTTTTTTGATAAATGTATACAACGATATTAAACGCATTGATAACCCTTCAGTTTACTAGTAGGCTGGTACTTATCGAATACCGCTTAATTAATTACAGCTTTGAGCAATCTCGTCACGCAACGTATATCTCGTATCCGTGCTGAAATTTACATAGCGTAAAATAACGTTCACGATTCTACATGAGTATTACCCCACGAACAGGCGCCTGCATTTAAATTTAAAATTTTAACAATAAACGTGCCTAGCTGCGTCGAAGCTTTGGAACTTTTCTAACAAATAGTACCTTGAGGATTATTTCTGTCTATTTTGTCATTATCTATTAAACACTAATAGGAATGAATTTTTGATTGGAACACATCTTTTCAATAAAATAGTGAAACATATGCATAGCGCAGATAAATTGTTTAAAAATAATATATTCAAAAATATATCCAAATTTAAGTATTCTAATCTTCAAGTAATTTTCCACTTGTTAGTTGCAGCTTCATATATTTGCCTAATTAGTATATGTCTTTTCTTGTAGTCGTCAACAATTTAGGATGTCGAGTAATAAAGACTTAGGTTACATGCTGGCTGATATTTTTATGATTATCATCAACTTAATACAAAAAGACACATTAAATTTGCTTTCTTTGTATTTTAAGTAGTATAATTAAAGCTCAACAGATAAGAGATGATCTAGATTAATTTTTTATCTTTACCGATTCGAAATAAACCATGACGAAAGATGAAATTTAAATACCTACTTATAAATTCAAAGTGCGACACCTTATACCGTAGAATTTCAAAGTAAAGCAAACCAAATAAATAGGCAAGTGAATGAATAGATTTTCAAATTATTAACTAAATAAGGCAGAACGGGATGATTACTCACAGCTTGTGACGACTTACTGTCACAATGGCAATTACAAAGGTATCTGTTCAACTATATTCGGCGAATGAAAATATATGTTTCAGATATCCACAATTTTTGTGAATACTTAAGTAAATCATGAACAAGGAAATTGGTGTAAATCAAAATAAATGAACGAATAAAAGCAGTAACTGTAGATAAAGACAAATTACACAATTCGTTTAATATTTTATTCAACTGATGCTTTATGTTAAACCAATAAAAATTTGCACAATTAAAACAAGTTGTTTTAAATTACTCGTCTCTTGTAGCGAATTGATGCAATAATAAGCATTGACTTATTCTCAGTAATCTCTATGGCACGTTCTCCTAGTTTGGAAGGCTCTCGGACTTTGTCTATTGCAATTATATAGAGGAGGATTACGCATTACGAGGGAGGCGTTTATTGAAATCATGATATCAGCAAATATTCATTCATTCATTTCAAATGGCAGGCGTTTTATAGTTATCATTAGCCCTTTAGCTGACTTCGGGCTTCACAGGGGGGAGGAACATCAAAGTAACAGGAAGTCGAGAGGCGGGGACCAGAAGAGCGATTTACAATTCTCTGCGAGCTCAGCTACACTCTCCGGAATGTTCGGGTGAAAAGTTTAACCGCGGTAAAAATGCGAACTCCAAACCCACACTGAGATGGCATATAGTTGAAATAACTTCATATCATACATTCAAAATTTGTTTTTCATTTAAAATAATATTTGCAACGCCACATGAAAGTAATAATATAGTGAATCTAAACTAAAGATAATTCTAGTGTTTGTATTTGCTAATAGCTAAAAGGGTAAAGTAGAATTTTAATAGGCTCCAATTTTGGAGTTGTCTTGCGTTTTGTGCTTTCGTTATTTTTGTCACTCTTATTTACTTCTCCTTCCGCAAATAAACATATTTTTGAGTTATTTAACTCACTGATGTGTCTTATATTTTATAATTATGATCCTTATAACTCTATTTAAGACGTATAGACCTTAAATGTCAAAATCAAATCCACATGGAAGTAATTTTATTTATTTTTACTTTTGGACCCTCTATTTATTGCTAGCTTCCCTACGTATTTTCTTTACATTTACTCACAGTTCTGGCTACATATATCCTGACGAACATTTTCAGTCAATAGAATTAGCTGCGCACGAAATCTATCCGAATTCTTGCAGTCTGATAACGTGGGAATTCAAACCAACTGGGTATGGACCAGTCCGTTCGCGCTCCAGCATCTATCCCTTTGTTCATCTGCCAATTAATATTGTTAATAAGGTGTATCCTTCACCACCTGACGGCAAATTGTCCGGAAATGATATGATCAATCGTATTCTTATGCCTGCTCGTATGTTTACTACAATTTTGTCGTTTATTCCTGATGCTTTCGTCTTTTTCATCAGCAAGAAGTTAGAGAACTTGAAGGATAATCGAGCGCCTCTGTCTCTCCTCCTATATTCCTCCATGACTTATGGTGGTCTATTGTACAATAGTCGTACGTTGAGCAACAACTGGGAAACTATACTTGTTTGCATCTTCTGCTATCTATCCCTTCACTCCTCATTCCTTAATATTCTGCTTGAGGCAGCTATCGGTGCTTATGGCATATTTTTACGATCTTCGTTTCCGATCTTTGTTACCCCCTTTATCTTACTTCAGCTCTACAATATTTCAAGGTCGACTCATCGAATTGTCTACCTAACATGTATAATACCCATTGCCGTACTCATATCATGTGTGGTGTCTGGCCTTTTAATTTTCTTTGATACGGTCTATTATTCTGGAAATCAAGTGCCGAAACTGAGTGATTTCATTATAACACCATTGCGTTTCCTCAAATACAATTCTGTGCCTGAGACATTAGCTAAACACGGACTGCATCCTTGGTACCATTACCTTATTGTTCATTGGCCCCTAATTCTAACTCCTATTGTTGCTCCCGTGGTACTGATTCCCCCAACAAGGAGAGGATATGAGTACAGACTTCGATTCACACTGTGGCTCTCAATAGTACTGCCAACACTATTTCTCNTCATTCCTTGTCTTCCATTTGCCTCTTGTTTAGCTTCCCTTCGAGTCAAAAGATTGAGGTCTCTCCTTGTTTATTGGATTGTGTACCAAGCTGCGTTGGTTGTGTTTTGGGGCTATTTGCATCAGGCCGGAATTCTTCCGTTCCTCAAATCGATTCCAGCAAACGATGTGGATGAAGTGTCTTTGAACATATTTTACAAAACATATATGCCCCCAAGATTTGCATTTGGCGAACCGCAGGCTCCACATATTAGTATTCCTGCAGAATGCCGGAAATTAGCACCGTTTGACGACGATGGCTGTGATAGGGTCTTAGATTTTGCGGGTAGACCTCAGATCGAATTATTCAACTTCTTGGACTGCCTGCAGAACTATTCCTTGCCTAATACAGTCATTAGAGTGGTGAGTTCGTTTTGTCTTAACTTTTTAATGATAATGAGTGGCTAGTCAATAGTAGTAGCTGATGTGAAGCACTACAAGGGAACTTAAATCGGCCTATTTCCCTTTTATTACTATTATTAGATTTTACCTGGAACAGTTTTGCCCCTCCACAAGTCGCTAAGTGATTATGGAGAGGTCATGCGCTTGGACACATTCTTTCCACACTTGTCGACAGAAAATCCACCGTCCCTCCTGATGCCTAACTGCCCTGGCA